ATTCAACCAATAAAGATATACGTCAGAAAATTTCACATGTAGAAAGTTTAGATATTCAAGAAATAATAAAAATAGGAAAGGGGATTGAGAATGAAGAAGCTTATGACAAAATAATTAATAAAATTGATAATATAAAAATAGAAGATATCCGAGATAAAACAAATAAAAATGCGGAAGGACAATCAGGCGGATACGGATAGAAGAATGACGAAATACGATGATCGAAATAGAGGAGTAGATGCACAAACGAATTACGTCCATAGAAATCAATGGAGGCCTAGATACGACAGTTATCAAAGAAATAATAGTTTAATTTATTTTATTAATTTTATTATTTCAATTTTATAAAAATTACAACTGAAAAACTTTACAATTTTTACAGCTATATATACACATTATTATTTACATGTCAACATTAATATAATTTAAAAGGTCCTTTAAAAAAGAAAAGATTTTTACAGAAAGTCAATGTAAAAAATATTCAAATTATAGGTTATCAAAAATAAAGAAATGTTTTTTACAAAAGGTCATAAGTTACTATGTAAAAAATATTCAAATTATATATTAACAACATTCCCCCCCCCCCTTTTTTTGTCATCTTTCCTCAGTTTCTTATCTTCACTTCCAGTCATTCGTTTCTCAATTGCTCCATTAGTCATTCGTTTCTCAATTGCTCCATTAGTCATTTGTTCGTATATCTTTAGATTGTTTGTTTGACCAGTTGAATCGATTATCGAACATCATGAAACATCGTTGGTTGTACATCATTGTTAGTTGAACATTGCATGTTGATTTGCTATTTGTATTGATCATCCCATTTCTCTTTCAAAATTTTATTTATTTATAACAATCATTTTCTATGTCGTAGGTCATATTCTCGCTTTTGAACTTGACTTTGAATTTTCGAATTTTGAACTTGACTTTGAATTTTCGAATTTTAAACTTGAACTTGTTCACTTCTTCCCCCTTTAAAAATTTTTTCAGTATTATTTATTGATGCTCTCTTTTTTATTTGATCCAAATGTCTCCTGATAATATGATGTCCATTGTCTATTCTGTATGTCAAGTTGCCTTCTTTTTGTACTACTACTCCTTTATCCCAAATATTTTATTTAAACGTCTTGTACCAAATCTTGTTTCCTATTTCTATTTCTCTATTCTTTGATATTTTTCTTCTTAATATATTCTCGTTATCTTCCACAGGTTTGATTAAGTCCCATTTAGTCCTGATCGTTCTTGAAAACATAACTTTACTGGGTATCATATTCGTTGTATCATTCGGCGTATTTCTATAATTAAACAAAAATTTCTCTAAGTCTATGTTCGTGTTGTTTTCCATATTTTTTTTAAGACTCATTTTCATAGTTTTTATCATCCGTTCACATTGACCATTCGATTGTTGATGATGAGGTGCTGTAAGTATGTGTTTTATGCCATAATCTTCACGAAACTTTTTAAATAATTGACTAGTAAAATTCGTACCATTATCCGTCACGATTTTGTGTGGTATTCCGAATAAGCTTATAATTTTCATCAATTCTTTTAAAGTTGATTCCGTCGTAATGTTTTTCATTCGTTTTACGATTGGAAATTTGCTATACGCATCCACAAATACCATATAATTGTTGTTTTCAAATTGTAAAATCTATGTGTACACGTTCAAAAATCTTTGTTGCTGGTTTCCATGGATTTTGTATTTTGTGAGGGTTATCCGAATATCTGTTACATGAGTCACAATTTTTTACCTCTAGATCTATCTCCGTGTTTATACCAGGCCACCACAGCCAACATTTTCGTTTTACCTGCACCTAAATGTCCTTTATGTAGTTCGCGTAAAATCTCTTTTCTCATGTTCATCGGTATTATTATTCTGTTTTCTTTAAATAGACAAAGTTTTATCAAACTCAATTCCATTTCCATGTTTCTGTATGTTTTGTTCTTTATTGGTTCATTATTTTCTAATATTATCAATTATTTCCATTAGTTCTTTATCATTCTTTCTTTGTTTCTTTAACTAATTGATTGAAGTTTATTGGTATGTCCCATAATTTGTCAATTTCTTTATCATCTATATTCTTTATCGCATTTTCTGTATTTGTCAATGGTAATCTTGATAAACAATCGGGCACCAAGTTTTGTTTCCCCGGTCTATATATTATTGTATAATCATAAGCTCCCATTGCTAAATTCCATTTTTGTAAACGCATTGATATTGAAGTATTATCTTTGAGTGTTTTTGAAAACAAATATATTAGCGGTTTGTGATCTGTTATTATCGTAAATTTTGTCCCAATCAAATATTCTTGAAATTTTTTTACAGCATATATTATAGATAGAGCTTCTCTTTCAATGTTCGTATAATTTGTTTCGGATTTCAATAAAGTTCTCGACGCAAATGCTATAGGTTTTTCTTTACCATCACCTTCCATGTGAAATAATACTGCACTTAATCCTTTTTTCGAAGCGTCAGTAGTAATTCCTATAGGCAATTCAGGATTGTAAAAATTTAAAGTCGGCGGACTGCTAATCAACGCTTTCAAATCACTAAAACTCTTTTGGTGCACATCTTCCCATATCCATTTTTCCTTGTTAACCATTTTATATAGAGGATCAGCTAAGTCTGCAAAGTTGCACAAAAATTTTCTGTAATAACTGGCCATGCTTAAAAATGTCGCTAATTCCTTTTTCTTTGTTGGTTTTGGCATGTTAGTAATAGCTTTAATTTTGTCTTCATTAGGATGTATGCCATTATCATCTATATCATGTCCCAAAAATCTAATCTCCTTCATAAACACACTCTTGTTGAAATTTGGTGTAAGCCCATATTTTGTTATTCTATCAAAAACTTTTTTTATGTTGTTCAGATGTATTTCATCATTATCACCTGTTATCAATAAATCATCTTATAAAATATGACATCTTTCATATCTCCGAAAATTTTATCCATGGTGCATTGAACAATTCCTGATGTAGGTTTTTAAACCAAAAGGTAATCTCGTGAATCTATAATAACCTTTGTGCGTTGATATTGTAAGCAAATCTCTGGATTATTTATGTATTGGTATTTGTAGACGTTTTTGAAGTCAATTTTCGTAAATTTTTTTCCTTTTGATAATTTCGAAATTAAGTCATTAATACGTGGTATCGGATATTTAAAGTCCTCTAATACAGGGTTTATCGTATTTTTGAAATTAGCACATAGTCTCAATGACCCATTACTTTTATAAACTGGAGTGAGTGGACTTGCCCATCGTACTTCATCTACCGGTTCTATTATCTTGTCATCAATCCATTTTTGTAATTCTTTTGTTATCTTTTATATGGTACGCGTCTTGGTGGTATAATCTTTGGTTTAGCATCTTGTGTCAAATGTATAGCATCTTGTGTCAAATGTAATTTAACACCATTACAATATATAGGTTTTTTGTTGATTTTAGAACTACATTCTTTAATTAATTTTTCTATCGTATCATTATTATTTTCCTCAATTAGATTCACGAATATATTGAGTATGTTACCAAAAACTTTTATCCACGTTCTTCCTAGTAGTAAAATTCTTGTCACTTTCGACTACATACGCATCTAAGTTTTGAGTTTTGTCTTCATATCTCACTTTTATTTGAACGATTTCTAGCACCTTAATACTTTTCCCATCATAGCCAGTAAGTTTCGTATCCGATTTATTTAAGACTTTGATTCCTATCTTTCTAGCAATCTTAATCGGTAATATTGAAAATCGTGACTTACCTTAAAAAATATACATTTTATTATTATTATTTTATTTCATTTGTTAAGATATATCAAATTATATTTTAAATGTTTAATTTAATTTTTTTTATAGTGTTTTAATAAAGTATAAATATTTCTTTTAAAAATGTGTATTTTTTTTTCATGGCTTAGTATTTTTTTTTTATTAAAAATTTCTATCACATATTTTTAAAACACTTATAAAATTAAAAACATAATTTTATAATTGTGTTCCCATAAAGGAACCATAATTATAGCAAATAAAAATTCTTTGGCTACGTTTGTAAAAAGCCGGATTTTTTAAAAACTTATAATGGCGAAAAATGGCCGTTTGTGAAAGACTATTGGAGTTAATAAGGAAGTTGTTAAAATTTTTGTATTTTGTTGATCCTTTTTGGTTTCTGCTTGTGTTAATGGATTGATATTGATATTTGAGGGGATTGAAGAAATAGAGCGATATTTATTTATATATGCTAGCATCAATGTGTTTTTTCCAGCAGTGTGTTATTTTTACAACTTTAAAATCATTTTTTTGATATTTGAGGGGATTGAAGAAATAGAGCGATATTTATTTATATATGTTAGCGTCAATGTGTTTTTTCCAGCAATGTGTTATTTTTACAACTTTAAAATCATTTTTTGAGCGCGTTTTTTTAAATTTTAAAAAATCGGATTTTTCCATTCCATCATGTTTGGAATACCTATCTTATGAATGGTAGACAATTTTAATGTTAACCTTTGAGTCATTTTTATATGTAAAAAATATTAGTGTTGTTAAACGGCTCGATTTGAGCTAAATCTTAAAAACGGCTAGCTCTACATTATAGCCAGGAAAATATTTCCTAAGCATCGAGACTTCGCAGTGGATGTTCAATCCTATGTGATATCTATGAGAATTTATTTTTAGGGTTGCATAATATTTTTCTGGATAAGATATTGAGCTAGCCCTTTTTAAAAATCGGCTCAAAATGAGCCGTTTAACAACACTAAAAAATATATGGAAAATCTAATAACAAATTATATTAATTTTAAAAGTTTATGGAAAAATTGTTTGAAATTCATAGGTTAGGTATTTCCAAACCTGGCGGAATACATTTTCAAGTAAAATCAGATTTTGAAATTTAAAAAAAAATGTGCTCTTAAAATGATTCAAAGTTGTAAAAAATAACACATTGCCCGAAAAAAACACTTTGATGTTAACATGTACACATAGCAATTTAACACTTAAATTTTTGTGATGCGTAATCGAAAAGGACGATTATTTAGATTGTTATGGGGACGCGAATGTAACGGGCAAAATTGGAACCGACATCGAGGATTTCAAGTGCTCCTGGCTGATTGTTACCGCTTTGACCAAAGCCACCGAAGAACAAATCCAAACTTTAAAAGTAATATTTTAAAATCTGATAAAATATACATATTGGTTATTAATGAGCATGTTGGTGTTGGTTAAACGTGCCCCGGTCCGGTTAAAATTTTAGCGTGTAAGCCTCGAGATTTGGCAAATAGAGATCAAAACCTTTCTGCTATCTACTAGTAAAATCTCCGGGGTTTGCATAATTTTATTCTGGCTAAAATCTTAATCTAGCCGTTTTAAAAAAATCGTAAATATCCTTTAAAACAATGTAAAATTATAAAAATTTCGTGCCCATTATCTTTAGAACAAACAAAAAAATGTGTTATATTTTGATAAATTCAATTTAAAAGGACAATTACGGCAAGGCTGACAAAGATTGCGTGGGTATAGTTAAATCGATTTACCGCGACCTCAAAATGGAAGAGCATTTCAAGGAATTCGAAGAAAGGACCCGATCCACAATTTCGAATCTCATAGAAAATGGAGGTAAAAATCTTGAAATAGAGGGACCGCTACCGAAAAATTTTTGCGAAATAGTGGATAACATATTCACCTTTGAGAACGACGTCGAAAAAGCGCGAAATAACGAAAAAGATGGCGCAACCATTCCCCCGGAAGTGTTTAGGCACTACGCTCGACTCATATTTGAGAGGGTTAGATGATCGCGAACGATGATACTCTAATCCGGAAACCGAATTCCGATTCTATCTACGAAAAATAATGTGACTAACTTTTTAAAATTAATGTCCTTTTTTTCTCACAACTATGACACTATTTTATTGTATAACAAAAGATAATATTGCTTATTTCGAAGAATATGTTTTTAATTCTTCATCTAAATCAATATATATTATATAAAATATTGAAAACATTCATTCATTACAAATTTATTTAAATAGTTGTAATAGCATCTTCCAAAATATCAATTTATGAACACGTTCTTTGTTTATTTTTATCCATACAATCCTTGCCATTTTTTTTTAAGATTTCTGGAAATCTTTTATGTTTATTAGCCAGCCCCTCCCTTCCGCTTTTAATAAAATGATCTCCTTCAGCGCGAGTTATAAGCGAATTGTAATGAATGCACGAATTAAAAGTGAGCAAGCATTTCATATACTTTTCTATTCCCTATATACGAAATGGCTTGAACTGTTTAAAATGCAATTGTTTATTCTCGCTAAATATCTGATTTCTATAGTTTCCTATAGGCTAAGTAAATTAAAGATTGTATAAAGTAAATTTATACCACGATGAAATATTTGTATCGTAAAGAAATTATCTACCTTTCATAAAAATTTCAAAGAAACAAGGTCATTATACTTTTTAAAAAAAAAATCCACAAAAAATGACACTTTTTCCAAATATTTGGCAAATTAGTGGATTTAAACGAATTCGAAAATAAGCTAAACAATAAATAAAGCAAGTATGTGAAAATCTACCTTCTTACTCATATTTTAATTGGTATGATTTATATTGAGAAATTAGCTTGAACAAATCTCAAAGATCGCGAACATTTAATTTATAATTTTAGCGGGAGGAGGGGGGGGTGAAAATTCTAATTCAAAATTGGGTAATTCTAGCAATTTTTTTTTAAAAATATCAAAATTTAAATACAACGAAATTCTTATTTAAATTTAAGGGAGAGAAAATGATTTACGATTTCATTTGCATTTTAAAATGATAATGAATTTTTTGTACTTTATTCTTTGCTCTGCTAAAATTCCAGATAATATAAGCATGTTAAAAACACGTAGAATATAAATTTCTTTCATTTTTAAAGAGTATGGAATATTGATTACTTTGATTTAAATATTCTTGTTTAGTGAGTGTGTATATATACTCTTAGTTACCTACATCAAAACGGTAAGCGGAAAATAATTCCCCAGAATCGATTTTCTTAAACATTTTATAGGTTTTTTTTACTATTTTATTAATTTTGTAACTTTTAATATCTTAATAAACTGGGATTTGTTTTTCCGGGGAATTATCTTCCTAAATTCCATCATAACATTTTATTTATGTAAAGTCTTTCAAGATCACAATTTTCTCAGAGAAAATACATTAAATTTTTTATCCTCTCTATTTCCAACATAAATTTGGACATTATATCAGCAATTAAATATGACAAATCTGTGAAATTTGGCTTATGATATGCTAGTGTTGATTTCCTTTTTTTTGCTATTTTGCCGATTCAAAACATATGCTGGATTTATTGGCTGCTACCGAACCTTCTATAACATATTTTTTTAAGTGTCATTAAAAAGAAATATCTTGTCAATATTGTGCCAACTTCGAAATATACCCATTTTTATAATAATATCGGCAAAAAATGGGTGCTAAATAGGCTAAAAATATTAGGTTTTTTATTATTCTCATTTTAAAAAATAAAATAAATATGGAATATAAAAATGTTTGAATGAAGATGTCGGTCTTATTTTCGTATAAATAAACATAATATTTTTTATAAAATATTTTATAACAAAATGCACCAAAAAATATTAATTATAAAATCATTCGTATTAATCATTTGAAATATAAATAATAATATACAATTATAATAAGATATTTTTTCTCAAAAAATTTTTATTTCTTAAACGATAGAGTACCCTAATTGACAAGTTGTAGTCCCATTAGTATATAGTAACCGCAACACCGCTGCATAGTAAAATATATCTCTTTAACCATAAAATGCCGCCTGAAAAACTTAAATGGAATCATTAGGTAAATTTGGGGGTATATATAAGATATAAAAATGTGTGAAAATAATATATATATTATAATATATACACAATAATTTAAATGTTACAATTACAAATAAAAAGAGAAAAATTTAAATAAATCCTCTCCTCAATATATAAACGATTATTTTAATATATAGCGGCAGAGAAAAAAAAAATTGATAGCTACTTATATCATTATAATTCCTATTATATATTTTTTAAATTATAGAATTCCTTTCATTAAACTAATGGCACAATAAAGATTTATAGCTAGCAATTTTTCAAAAAAAATTTTTTTTTTATTTCATGGAAATTATAACATTCAAATTTTTAACAGTTATAAATTTGTTATTTCGTGAGCATAAAAGGAATGATTTAATTTAAACACAATTTAAAAAAAATATATATATTTAAAATCGACACGATACTTAGTTTACGCGAAATTCAGCATCATTTTTTTGCTAGGCAGAAGTAGACAAAATATTTCTCATTTAATCTAAAAACCATTAAATATGTTTAACGATTCCTTGGCAACATTTGCAAGCGGCCAAATGGGCTTCCGGCAAAGTTGAATGGAATTGGGAAAAGGTGAGTGGAGTGGCTGATAACGAATCTGCATTCAAATAATTATCGTGGTAGGGGGTACCTGTTCCGAGGAGATCCAAGATCTGGGAGGCCTTAAGACCGAGTTCTTGGGCTTTCAAATATATAAAATTAACAATTGGAAGGTTTTTTTAATTTTATGGATTTATAACCGTAGCATAATTTGTAGAGGATAGTTTTTTTTAGAAAAATACTGGTGTCCTATAGGGGATCGGACAAATAAAATTATAGTAAAAATTTAGATGACTATCTGTAAATCATATATATTTAAAATTATAAAAAAATAGGGGTGTTTACTAAATACGTGAAATTAAAATCATTCACCCCTCCAAATTAAAATATTTTTAATTTACCGAATTGAGCAATTTCGGTTTCTTGAGGGTGACCAAGGGTTTTAGGGGCGTATAACGATAAGAGCTCTTTGAAATCGGATAATTTTTCCTTTTTTTTTATAAAAGAAATAAAAAAAAAAGGTTTGTAAATTGAGTTTCATTCATTCATATATAAATATTTCTCGATATAAATCAGAGGGGTAACATGCCAATTTAGTTTCACGTTAACGATCTGCGTCGGGCCTAATTTTTCAAGCCCGGCCCGTCGCGAATTTATTTAAATCTAGAAATTAATTTTTATAATAACTCAAATAAACGATATATGTTATTTGGCGTCTACTTTCTATAAATAAAATCGGGATAGGTTAATTGGGAATTTGGATATTTCTTCCATTTTAGCGATTTTTTTTTTAATTTTCAATTTAAATACAAGTATTTAATCCTCTAGTATCTATTAATATTAATTTCAAATTTACTTTAAAAAATTTCTAGGAGATATAAGCCATGTTCCCGATTTTTAGCGATTTAGAACGGGAACCATAAAATCACATATATTTTAAAAAAATTTATAAGGCCTGACCCGGCCTGAATTTTCTTAACTACTTTTGCATATCTCTTTCACGGTGTAAATAAAATAAAATAAAATTTGAAATTTCTATTATATATTTTAAAAATATATGTGTTTCATTTATTTATTAAAAATAAACGTGTCACCAGCTGATTTGTTATACAACGAAGCTTCGAAATGCATTTTTAATGAATGCCGTCAATCCAATGTTAATAAAAATATTAGGTTCCAAAGTTAATATAATTTTTAAGAATTATTTTGATTCCCAATTAGAGAAGGCAAATTTTTTCAAAAAAATTATTATCTTTTTTTTTGAAAAACTTCTTCTTTTTTTTCCTTTAAAATTACGGATTTGGCTATTTTACGGGAGAGAAAAATTAACTAATAACTATTATAGATAAACAATAACCGATAAAGTTGCCCCTCTAGAGGGGACACTTTTATGATAATAATTAAGGATTTGCCTAATCATGATCGTAAATTCGTCCACGTTTCTGATTGGTCCATTTAATAGTTGTAAATTAAGATTGCATCTTTATATATTGTTTAAATATTACTTGGGAATTATCTAAATGCAATAAATAGAAATAATAATAAAAAAATCGTGTTAGTAAATGATATCAACCATTTTGACCGAAATGGACGAAAATACGATCAAAGGAGGCCCACTAATCTATTTTGAGATAGTGTGTTTGATTTAGATTTGCTATAATAAACTTCTTAGTGTGCGTGTTGTGTTGTCCTAATTTTTGATTAATTTATTCATATTCTTTGTTTAAATCAATTTATAATTTTTGTTTAATTTGTGTTATTAAATTTTTGTTGTGTTTTTTTTTATTAATTATTGTTCTCTTATGACCAATATTTTTTTCCTCGATTCTATATCATGGACCATTTTTTTTGGATAATTTTTTGTTAATCTTCTTTATTTTGTTTTGGTATGGTTATACAGGCATCGAACTGATGAATCAGATGATCGTCGGCATTGCATCTAAGGCATCTTCTTTTTCGTATTTCTTGTAAATGGTTGAACCTTGTAATCCCTTCTAAAGAATTTTGAGAATCGAAATTTCCTACCCACATTTAGAAATAAATATATCAACGTAATCTGAACAAAGTGCGACTTAAAAATTATGAGTTGAGATTGTGTCTCCGTCACAGGAATTTAAACAAAATTTATAATGGAAGAGAAAAACAAATAGCACTTAAATAAAAACACAACAAAAGCTAAAATTAATAACACAAATTAAACAAAAGTTATAAATTAATTAAACAAAGAATACGAATAAATTAATCAAAAATTAGGACAATTTATTATTTTCATTATCTTTTTTTAAATACATTTTACCAATCCGCGAATACTTGTTAATTGGCATTTATACAAATATTTTAACTTTTATAAATTTACATGTCAATTAAACAAATCATTGGTCCACGATGTTGAATCGAGGAAAAAAATATTAGTAAAGGACAATAATAAATATAAAAAACACAACAAAAGTTAAATTAATACGTGCCATACACTTTTTATAGTAATTTTAGTTTTAAAATCAGAGTTGTATATTTGCTCAAAATAAAAAGATCTAGATCTCTTTGAAGATCGTAAAATTTGAAGATCTTTTATTTTTTAAAAATTTTGTGTATGCGATCAACGATCTTCATGATATTTATTTTTTTACCCCTTTATTAAAAGCCCAGATGTTTTTCAATTTTATTAATATAATATTTCTTTTATGTTTTATACCTCTCCTCCTGCCTTGATGAAAATTGAAAAACATTTGGGCTTTTAATAAAGGGGTAAAAAAATAAATATCATGAAGATCTTTGAAGATCGTTGATCGCAGCGATCTTCAAAGATCTACACAAAATTTTTAAAAAATAAAAGATCAAATTACGATCTTCAAAGATCTTGCTCAAATTTTTGAGCTAGATCTCGCTCAAAAATCTTCAAAGAAGATCTTTTGTACAACTCTGTTTAAAATAACTAATTTTACGATAAAGAAATTATTGAGTGGCCAACCATTTTTTAACATTAAATGAGGCAAAAGAGGGGTAATTAAACCGGAAGATTTGGGTAAAACGCTAGAAACCGGAAGTCATCGCACACTAATAAATTAAAATAGGCAAAAAAATATATACGCGTAGTAAAAATAACCCTTATGCGGACATGTTGATTAACCAAACGCGTTAAATAGCTTTCTCGATCCTCGTTTTTCTTGTTGAGGTAATTTCTTTGAGCGTGATAAATGGCTATATATTCACCTTTAAATTCGTAATTGAAAAGTTTTTTTTTAAAATATTTATTTTTATTGAATTAAATTAAATTCGGGGGTTAAATGGGCATTCATTTTGTGAGTATAATGATTATTTTTTTGTCACGATCAAAATGGTGGCTGGTTGGTCATTTTGAATATAGAAAAACCCTAGCCATGTTCTAGTCTTTAGTCATACTATGTCTATTAGTCATTTTCTAGTAAAAGGAGTTGTTAAAGTAGTGAGCTACTTATAGCACGCTACTTAGCTACTTTTTATAAAATATAATGAATGTAATTATAAACCAGAGTTGTTAAACACTACTTTTAAAAGTAGCGCGCTACCGCTATCACTATTTGCCAAAAAAGGGAGCGCTTAAGCGACTATTTTTTAAAAGTAGCTTTGGCTGCTTTTTAAGCTACTTTTTATAAAAAAAATATCATGTAATTGTAAGTAAATAATACGTAAAAATCAACATTTATAAATATTTAAATATTGATATTTTTGATTAAAAAAATTTTTATGTAATAAATCATTTTTATTTTTTAATAATACAATCATTTCAATATTATCATCCCCAAGTCTAAAGCGACGATCAGAGAGTATAAGTTTCGTCTTACTAAATAATCTCTTAACACTAGCACTTGAGGGCAATGCAGTATTTAATTTTATATATATATTTTTAATATAAGAAAGATTATTTAAAAAAATACTCATTTGAGTATTTTTAGATTTAAAAAGGGAGTCGAGTAGATTTTCAATTATACTATCTTTTATTTCAAAAAATTATGAGTGGAAGTCATTTTTGTGGTTGTAACTAACTATCTTTGTTTGGGATGAGACTATTCAATTTACCATGAACCTATCACGTTGATCTTTAGCATCATAGGAATGGATATATGGCCAGTTTAGTTTAAAATTGGGATGAATCATTGCAGCTAATGCATTATCATAATTGTTATAGATTGGGGAATCTAAAAGTTACAAAAATAGTGAATTTAAAATATATCTTAATCATAAAATTTTATAAATATTTTAGCTTTTAACTTTAAGTTAGAATAAATTATTCAGTCAAAATCAAAACAATATAAATTTTATTTACCTTCTCTCAATACCTTTTAACATAGAATCTACTAGGTTCTGGCATAAGATTAGATTATTCAATCTTAATTTTGTAGTTAGGATACATAAAGTGGGAACATAATACCCCATCTCCATATTGAACTCAGTATACCATGCAATCAAATTGATAGCATGTTTTCTGGATGAAAGAAGGTTAAAAAAATGAATTTTCTCTGTTATCATGCTGGAATTCAATATATTAACGCTGAAGAGCATTCTTTTATAAAAGAGTATACAGAAGTAATTCTAATTAATAATTATTCATTTCATATCATTTTAATTTTTTAGGTTATGCAATATGTGGCTCTTTCCCTTGAAATTTTGGAAGGTGAGGATAATATGGAGATGGGTATCATGTTCCCACTTTAAGTATCCTAACTACCAAATTAAAGAGATTGAATAATTTAATCTTATGCCAGCCCCTAGTAGACCCTATTTTAAAAGGCATTGAGAGAAGGTAACTAAAAATTGATTTGATTTTGATTGAATAATATTGATTTAAAGTTAAAAAATTTTATGATTAAAATATATTTTAAATACTCTATTTTTGCAACTTTTAGATTCCCCAACCTCTACAGTAATGAAAATGTACGAGTGGCAATGATTCATCCGAAGTTCTTTTTTGGCCATATATCAATTCCTATGATGCTATAGTTCAACGCGATAGGCTCATGGGCTAAGTTTAATAGTCTTAACCCAAACAAAGATGGCCCAATTACATCCTCGAAGACATCCGATAATAATTTTTTTGAAATAAAAGAGTGTATAATAGAAAATCCACTCGATGCCTTTTTTATATCAAAAAATACTCAAATGAGTATTTTTGATACTCTATCTTATGTTAAAAAAAATGTATATAAGATTAAATACTCCCTTGCCCTTAAGTGCTAGTGTCGAGAGATTATTTAGTAAGGCAAAGCTTATACTTTCTGATCGTCGCTCTAGACTTGGGGATGATAACATCGAAATGATTTTATTATTAAAATTCAACAAATTACCATAAATATTTATTTTATTATATAAATTTTTTTTATAATCAAAATTAACTATATTTTAATATTTATAAATGTTGATTTTTATATATTATTTACTATACAATTACATTATAAGCAAAAAATAAAACAAATTTATTTCTAAATTTTTAAAGTAGCTTAAAAGGTAGCTAAAGCTAATTTTAAAAAATAATAGCTAATAGCGAGCAACTTTTTTTTGACAAATAGCGATAGCGCGCTACTATTAAAAGTAGCGATTAATTACTATAAATAGTTATTTTTATTACACAAATTTTTTTTATAATCAAAACTACCTATATTTAAATATTTATAAATGTAGATTTTTATGTATTATTTACTATACAATTACATTATAAGCAAAAAATAAAATAAATTTCTTTCTAAATATTTTTTATAAAAAGTATCCAAAGCTATTTTTACAAAATAGCATAGCGCGCTACTTCTAAAAGGTGTTTAACAACTCTGAGAATGAACGCCCTAAGAAAAAAATTATGATAGCCACGTGTCACCCATTAACTAATTTTATAAAATTTCAATTTTTGATCTTAAGAATCCAGTATAAATCTGACCATACGTAAATGAATAAATATATCGTCAGCTGAGAATTATAGTGTTATATATACAATTTTTAAAAATTTTCCAGAACATTTAAAAAAAATATTTTGATCGATAATATAATAATTCAAATAAAAGAGTATTCTTATATATTGTAGACGCGGAAGTAAGGGTTGGCATAATTAAATTGATAATTATTATGAAAAATCATTAATTAAATCAATTTTCTTTTTTTTGTTTATTTTTTTAAATAATTAAATAGTTATAAAAATAAATACATTTTATATTTACCTTTTCTTTCCATATAATTTTTAATTACAATTTTGTATGTTGTGTGAATAATGAAATTGTATTGATTTTTTATGTAATAAATTCCCATAAAATTTTAGGAGATTTATAAAAAAATCCCTAACTATGATTCAGCTCAGGTTACGGTTCAAATAGAAATAACGGTTTAGATTCGGTTAGTAAAAAATGATAATATCGATTTAGTTTTAACCTTTAAAAACCGGTTCCAAGCCTTTCGCGTACATGCTCTGTTAGAATTATGTAAAATAAACATCATTTTTTTAAAAATTTTATCACTTGATTCTCTAAAAAAAATAATAATATTGAACCCTGTAATAACAATTAAAATATTTTTCAAGATTCTCATCTGTAAAATTATACCTTATAAAGGAGGAAGAATTAACTTTAGTGCTTAGAACACTTCTATATGCTTACTTGGGTAGCTGGTTCTGTCAAATAGTGATATTTGAAAAATATCTAAAAATGTCAGAACCGATTATTAATTATCTTTGAAAGAGTTAAAATATCAAAAGGTTTTCAAACAGGTTGACCGACATTTATAGAGGTTCGGTTAATAAGAGCGGTTAATATTGGTTGAGTCCAGGGTGGGTTTGAACCTCTTGTCTATAGCCATTTTACCCCGTTTAATTAATATTTATTCGATATCTTGCCTAATTTATACACAAACAAAATATTAGTTAGAAAATAATTAGGGCTATGCCGACATTAAATATTGGATCGGCACCGATATCTCGAGTTTCCCAAAAATATCGAATCGGGCCGATACCTGTAAAAACACGATTCGATCTTTTTAATTTTCTTTTTTTGTTATTTGATGTATATTTATTTTACATTAATAATATTTTCTAAATAATTTTTTTTTAACAATGTAAATGCACAACACCTCTTAAATTTTATTTATTTTTTAAAATAGATTTATAGTATTATTTTAAAAGTTTTTTTGTAAAAATAGATATTTATTTAAAATCTTTTAAAATAATGCCAATTTTATTATTTATACTTTAAATAAAAGAATTTTTTAAAATATGTTATCTGAATTATGGAAATATTTTACAAAAGACAAAGATAATTTTGCAAAATGCGTTATCTGCGGAATTCTATCGCGGGGAGGAATAATGAAAAATTCATTTGATACTATCAATATCCGCTGTTTTAAATTATTTTATAAAAAAAAATTAAATTAATTGTATAATTCGATTTTTTGCATAAAAAATATTGATTTCTTAATTACAATTGGTTGGAAGGAGGGTGGTGAAAAATCAATATAAATATCGGATCGGTTTTAAACCAATATCGGATCGGATCGGTGAAAAATATGTGGATCGGCACATCCCTAAAAATAATAAAATATGATTAATCAGTAAAATTTATTTATAACTGGTCAAATACTAAATATTGATTGATAACACGTGATAAAATATTTTTATATAGTTAAAAAATGATTTATTCATAAAAATCGATGTTTAATGTAATAAATGCATGTTTAAGTAATAACCTTGCCTTGGGGAGTTATTTATTTATTGCGCATATAATATTATAAAATTTGATTTAAGTTTAAAAAAATCTTAATTTAATCAAATAAATCAATTTTGTTGATTTTTATATTTAAAATAAAATTATGATTTATACCAACCCTCTATGGAATAATATCTGGAAAAAATAGCATTTTGCAAGATGTGGAACACTATAATACTTAGCCGAAATTAGAAATTTTTTTTAAACCTATACATTCCGACTCTCCCTCGAGCAGTGTTATCAAATGTTCCAAGCCTTCATTGCGTTCTTTCAGATCGACGTTCTCTTTCACGGATCTCTTAAAACGTTGCTTATTTTTTGTTTTTATTTTTAAAGATAAAGATGACTAATTATTGCATTCTAACCTTAGAGTAGAGTCCCTTCAAACCAGCGATGTAGTTTATACACGAGGTCTACGGGCCGGTCCAAATCAGCCCCTGGAAATTGTTTGAAAAGGTTTATCGCCCCAACCCATATAATTTTGCAAATAAGATGTCCTGCCCGAAATAATTTTTTAAAAAATATTCTTCCCATTATCAAAAAATAATATTATACTTCTAATAGAGAAAAGGCATCCTTTTGAAGTTCGGTTTCCTTCAAAGATGCTATGTACTGTCTTCTAGATGGCGGTAATTCTGGGTCTGGTGTAGACTTTTTGTTAAAAAAAACATAAATAAAATTTAAAATTCTTAAAAGGAAAGCAGGAAAAAAATAACCGATAAAGGAAAAATATGGATGATGGGTGTTAAAATTAATATTTAGTTATAAGAAAAAAATAAAAATATTTTATAATGGTCTGAGACTAGTCCGTATGGAGATGTTAGTTCTGTCCACGTTCAAAACTGGCTCCTAGTTTGGTCGGATGTAACAAGTCAAGTGCAAAAGGGAGGGCAGATATGAAAATTCAAAAAATTTCAAGATTTACCATTCTGCTTGTATCAGCGCTCGAACAATTGGACAGGTGGTCTTCGTGTTTTCTAGCGAGCTTTAAATTCTGCTCCCGTAGGCTATTCAATTCTTCCTATAGCATATAGTAAATAATTATTATTCGTTTTCGTTAACCATAATACATTAAGTTAGATTGAAATAGACTTAGTTATTGTAAGATGAAGAAAAATCTGACTTGAGCAATAACCCTTCTTCTGACCGTCTTTCATAAAATTGATAAAAAAATATTAACGTATTATTTTGGCTAAAATTTTAATAAAACTCATGATACTAATATGACCAACCATGAGATGGTTTTAGGGTGAATATGCTTTATATACATTATATTATAATTAGTACGGTGTTCGCAATATTGGAGATCTAGTATTATTATTTTTTTTAAATTCATTCACTAACCCCCTCCCAGGTAGGACCAAAGAAATTATTTTTTAGGACCAATGTGATCTTACTCTCATCTATTTATAGATATTATCGTTATTAACCTCAGTTTCCTTCAAACGCATTTGCAATTCGAGATGCGAATCCGAAGACTTTTCCGTAACATCCTGAGATAATTCTTTGACCTGTGCCATCAAATCGGTTATTTCTATTCGATTTTCCTCGACCTTCGAGAAGAAAGAATTATTTTTTTTAAAAAAAGTAAGTAAATAAAATAAATATAACTTTAAAAAAAAATAAATAGATATTTTTAAAATAAATAATTTACATAAAAATAAATAAATAGAGATAACCCTGATATTTTAACCCAACCCTCAATAACTTAAAGGAATAAAGAAAGGAAGAGCAGTTGATTTCTCCTCCCCCTATTTCTTTTAAAAAAAAAAATATCGACAAATGTATCTTAGAAACAAATCCAAGTCGATACAATTTATTGTTTCAATATTTATTAACAGCTGTGCATATGGATAAGACAGAGCGTAAAGAGGAAAAATAAATATTGAAGGATAATTTATTCGTTTTTATTTTAATATTTTTCTTTTGTAAAACTTTTTGGTTGAGAGAATCAACGTGGGTAGTGGCGTGATGGAGTCTATCTTTCAGATCCTGCAACGCGTACTGTTGGCTTTGTAAATTGGAAGACATCTTCATATTTTCCTCGCTCTTTAAGAGAAAAAAAAAATCTGATTTAATATTGCGAATAAGATTCTATAAATATTATTTTTTTAGGGAAGCTAAAAACCACCCGAGGGCCTGAAACAATTTTTTTTTCACATTCCATTTTTATTTCCAATTTAAGGTTTCCAGTGCCAATGATCATAATTTTCGGAACGTTCTGGAACCCTAAAAAATGTGTTTCGGATAATCTTTTTAAGACGTGTCTTGGGTTTCTCTAAAAATCGAGCACTTTCCGGTTTCCGAGAATATCTTGGCCATTAATTATAATAGAGTTTAAAAACATTTATACTTCTAAAAAAAATCTTCTAAGTTACCCGTTAGATTCCAAGAAGATATGAAAAGACAGAAACATAGAAATAATAATTGAAACGGTCAATTTTTGGAGAGAGATGGTTGAAAAGAGAAATGGAAAAATAAAAAAAAAAGAATAACCATAAAAGAAAGAGAGAAAGATAAGTAGGATAAAAAAAATGAAAATAAGGAACATTTAAAAAAAAATTAAGTCATAAAAGATACCTTCACAACGTAATTATTTTCCAGTTCCTCCAGTCGCGCTTTCAGGGCCTTATTTTGTGCAAGGGCTCTACTCGTGGCGATTTTATCAGATTCGGTTTGTTTGAGCAAATTCTTACCGTCCTGGGCATCGGCCTTCAATTCTTGTATGCGCTGTTGGAAATTTCGAAGGGAATTTTCCAATTCGGCACATTTTCTTTGAAAAAATAAGAAAAAAATAAATAAAATTTTAGATTCCAGCTCCAACCAAAGGCTGAGATACGGTCCTCTAAAGGTATCTAAAAAAATGAGACATTTTGGGCAAAATGCTCTCTTATAAATATAATTAAGCTTAGAAGCGTCATTTAAAATTATTTTATATAGCCTAATGGTAGGGGTTCTAAAAGTATCGAAATGTCAAAAAACCGGAAATGATCATAAAATCAAAGCGGTCAATTTATATTTATATATAGATATAGGACTAATTAATATATGCGCAAAATTTCAAGTTGGGCCGAGTCAGCCAAATATAAACGTAACAGGGAGAAAGTATTATTTTTATTTTAAATAAAAATGTTATTTATTTTTTTTTTGTTTACTTTTGGTAAAATTCGCTTTCGGATTTCTGTATTCGTTAAAAGTATTATTTATTTTTTAAAAAAAAAAAAGGAGGTTAATTTTAACAAAATAAATAAGTGTTTATTTATTTATTTATCAAAATAAACAATTGCTTGTTTATTTATTTATCAAAAATAAACAATTGCTTGTTTATTTATTTATCAAAACAAACAAGTGTTCCCAAAAAAATAAATCACGGAACCAAAAACAATTATTTTTTTTTGTTTTTTGAATATCGAGATTTTGTTTTGTTTTGTTTTTGGTCAGAGCCCAAGCACTCTTGTAAATTTTACCTTACTTATTCTATATCGTCGTAGGGTAATTAATAAAGGTAAAGTGCCTCATTATTACCCTTCTATCAGGATAGGTAGCACTTATATATACATATATAACTTAGTTTAGCCTACTACAGCTACGATATAAATATTAGATTTGACGTGAAGTAGCCATATATTCAAATCTAAAAATTACGATTCTACACTTACTTACAATTCTATACAAGTCAGAAAATTTATGACGCAATTTAAAGATTCATTTACAATTTTGAAGAAAAATTTATTTAAAAATTCATTTTTGGAGAAAAGGTAATTTAAGAATATTATATCATTTTTTTTTCTTAAAAAATCTACTTTCCTCGAGTGTATCTAGATAGCTCAACTCCAACCTAAAATCATGTCACGAAATCTTGAAAAGGATATATATAACAGTTGCTATGAAAAGTATCAATTAAATGAGGAGCACGCCTAAAAAAAATTTCTATGTAAAACTACAGATTGTACGAAAGGCCCTATAACAACAGAAACTTTACAAGAGCGCAACAAGAGCTCGAACTAAAAATGCTAAAAAAAAAAATTGGGATAATATCTAAAATGTTTTGTAGTTTAATAGCCTCGCAACTTATATGGGGTTAAAAAAAAATTTAATCATATTTATAAATAAAAGTCTATATCGCTACATCGTCGTATGAGAATTAAGTTATTCTAACTCCACTTTTTGTCAAAAATGACTTTTTTTTTAAACATATTACATTAAAAAAGTTCGGAAATATTTATAAAATAGCTAGAATCAAATCCGATACAAGGTTAAACGATCCTATTGAAAGCAAAAAATAAGCTCAATTTTTATAGATTACTCTCCTTTGTAGAAATTACGAAAATTGGAGTTAGAATATTATAATTCTCAGGTGACAATATGCTTAAACTTGTATCTCGTCCTCCATACTTTTTGGTCTAATAGCAAAGAAAGCGAGGCGTTATTTTGGGTTAAATTTTTGGTCTGTTTGATTCTTTCGCGTTCGATTCTCTCCAGTTCCTCGATCAGCAAATTTTTCTGTTCGATTTCTTTTAGTGTTTTTTTTTGTAATTAATGTGTTTATTTTATATTGTATAAATAAATTCGTAAACATGCCAAAAAAAGGAGTATAATATTCCCGATAACAGATCTTATAAATCGAATCTTACCCTCCAATCACAGTTAGCGCGAATTCGCGCTGAAATATATAAAAAAAATTTGTATAATTCGTCAGCGACATCGCGCCAACTGTGAATGCATAGAAACCCCTCATTTACAGTCAGCGCAAATTCATGGCGGAGAATATAAAAATATGGCGTATTTTTTTGTATAATACGCCGCGAATTCGCGTCACTAAGAAGGCAGGGTTAGACATAACTGTATAAAAATTATGCTTATAAAAACAAATGGAAATATGGATCACGAGTTACCCTTATTTACCATATTTTTTTTCCTATTTTATATTATTTATTTTCTCTTTTTCTACTTCCTTCCTTTCTTCACTATATCAAAAAAAATAATTAGATCATCATTTTTTATCCGGTGTTTAAAATTTGCTCAAAAAGGAAAAAAAAAAATCTTCAAAGATTTTAAATCTCGGTAAAGATCTATTAATATGAAGATATTTTTAATCAAATTTTTAACACCATGTTTTTATCGTATTAAATATTTTAGAGGCCATTTCAAATAATAAAAATAAATAATTTTACCTTTTAAGGTTAGGTCGAATTTAATCTGAAACTCCGTCGGAGAAGCTTCGAGAACCTTTTCATTATAATTATTAATTTTTTTAAAAAATATAAATATGTTTATTTAATTTATATATTTTATCTTTAATGCCCCGTTCAGGCTCAATAAAATTAGAATTTTCTCGCCTAATTTAGGAATTAATGTTATCAATGGGGTATAATAAAGAGACAAATGTCACTCACTTTTTCGGCTGCGTCGGGTAGGTATAGATTTAAATCCTTCAGGGTGTCCCGGAGTTCGGATGCGTAAGCGGCATGCGTTCTCTCTACTACCTTAAATATATTATTTTATTATTTATTTTAAAAAAAAACATCTCTTTCCAAAATTTAACGGGAAATAAAGATTAATATTCCTCATCTATTCACTAAAATCTTTTTGCTACACCAAGCCCTACCAACCGCCCCCCCCTCCATAACTAGTGTTGTTAAACGGCTCGCTTTGAGCCGCTTTTGAAAAACGGCTAATATGTAAGCCAGAAAACAATTGTTTAAGCCTCCAGATTTCGCTAATAGATGTCTAGACTTTGTACCATCTATGAGCATTGCGTAATATTTTTATGGATAAATACTGAGTTAGCCGTTTTTAAAAATCGGTTCATAACGAGTCGTTTAACAACACTATCCATAACCACCCAATGATAAAATAGAATAAATTTTAGTTGATTAATGCAGATATATTAATAACGTCATATTTTTCATTGTGACTAGAGCGAAGAGAAGTGCTTAAAATTTTCAAATATTCTGAAATTTCAGAGGATATTCCAATCATATCCGTTCATGCAGGATTTGTGTTCTCACCTCCGTAAGCTATCTGGTGAGGGTCAAGAGCTTCTTTTTATGACAACGACTTACCTTATATATGTCTTCTAATTCCCAAGAAACTTTCATACTCTTCCTCCCTTAATTTTCTTCTCATTTTTATGCTATATTCTTAGAACTTTTTTTTTAAAGAATAAAAAATAATAAATTGATTAAACCATGTTGTTTTTGTTACATCTGTATCCTAAATGAACAAATTTAACTTTTGGAAGTAAAAAGATATGGTTAGACAATTAAGTTTTGGAAAGAAGGGAGATGCGTTACATCTGTATTTAAATATCCTTTACAATAATATCTTATGTTCAGGATCATTTTAATTTTCGTATTATTATTTCAAAATGATATATTAATTTGAATATTATACAAGAAATACTTTTATATGACCTTTATATGCAAGGTTTTTAAGGTTTGGAGAGGATACATCCAATCCTTCTTTATTTAAACGATACACTTTGACGGGAAAAATGTGACTCGCGGATATTATATCAAAATGAATAAAACTAAACCTCGGTTGAATCAGCTGGAGAACCCAAGAGGCTAGCAACAAATTTGTGAGTTAGATTGAGAGCTGCTTCCAAATTTTCCCTAATTAATGTAAATTAAAAGACGTCAAATAAGGGTTAAATACAATTTTTTACAATAATTTTTTAGGTTAGGGGGATGGGGGTTGGAAGTAGAGATCTGCAAAGTTAGGTCCGGCCCCTAATTAATTTAAAATAATCGGGTTCGGGCCGGGCCTAATATTTATTAAAAAAATCGGGCCGGGTTGGGTCGGACAATGGAATTTTTTTTTAAAATATATCTAAATTTATCAATTTTATATTGAATTTTTTATGTAAAAATAAAAAAATTTGATTTTATTTATCGAAACTAAAAGCCATATAACATATGACTTTTATTTTAAGTAATTATAAAAATCAATTTCTATATTTAAATAAATTCGGGAAAAATTAGGCCCGATGCAGATCACTAGTTGGAAGTAAATGCCATTCATAAAATTTGCAAAAGGGATATGCATTTAGAAAATTTGTATCAAGGTTAAAAGTTAATGGGAATTATTTTTGTTGGCTGGTAAAAAAAAATTATTTTTTACAAAAAAAAACCCCCATTATCACGATTTTATTTATTTAAATCGATTTTTATTGATAAAATTATTTTTAAAATATATGTGACTCTGGTTGAAAATAAACCCAGAGAAAATAAAGTAAAATTAAATATACAAGTTCATTTTATTTTATTATATCAAATATCTGTTTCCCGTTGAAATTTATAAATAAAATATACGATTGTTAAAGCAATATCGAATTGAAAAATTATCTATAAAATTTGCCCATTTATACTTAGTTGTGATGCTTAAAAATTTGAATGTAAACATGGGAGATTCATTATATCTCTTTTAAACAATATTTTTTTTTAAAATATTATAATTTATACGAGTATACCATTTCATATTTAACACTGTATAAATTCATTTTTAATAATTAAACATAGAAATTAATTCAGAAACTTTCATGCACAAAATAGTTTAAAAAAAAATAAGGTGGAATAAAATGTTTCATTTAAAGAGATTAACTAACAATTTTTTTTTATTATATTTATATGATAAATATGTGATTAGAATCGTAATTTTATATTTAAAAAAATCATTCATTTTAATCATGATTTAAATAATTTTGATTTATTCATGCCATCTTCATTAGTACTACCACTTAATAAAAAAATCGAGTATATTTTCGATTCCAACGTTAACTTTCACACTTGTAATATTTACAATCGAAATAGTAATTTCAAATTTATTCCTCCATTATTTAAAAAATATAAATTTTACAAATTCTTAAACTTTTTCATTGTTTAAAGAGAAACAAAATAAACCTAATATTAAAATTGATAATGATGGTAAGTTCTGATTTGAATTGTAAAAAAATTATCATTTATTTTTACCCTAGTGATTACTTTCCAGCATTGCCAAATTTACTAATCCTGTATTAGAAACAATTACTTCAAGCTCAGCACTTAAGTAAAATATTAAGCTAATTATAACTAGATTTAAGGAGAATTTATAGTAAAATAGTTATTCATAAACGATGCGTTATTTAATGCAGCATTATTTACAAAATCACACTAATATATAGTTATAGTTTATAAATATAGGTAGAGTTTATAAATATGGAGTGTTATGATCACTATGATAAAATTTGAATAATATATGTTGCAATTCAATGATAAAAAATATGAAATATGATTAAAAAAGATTTTATTATCAATTTTTTAAGAAACAGAAAATTATTTTTATTAAATATTTGTAAATACTATAATATTGACACAGCCCTAGTTATTAAGATTTAAATATGCGATTAAATTTAAACATAAAAAATAGAGGATTCAAATATTATTTTATAAAAAATTTATATACTTATAATTCTTTAATCTATGAATAAATTCTTGATCTTTGTTTGGCAAAATTTTATTATTTTCATTCAAAACTGGAGTCATCTGCAAAGTATTTGTCATTTTAGATGAATCTTTTATTTCAATTATCACATCCTTATCTCTATTGTTGATAATCTTGTTTTCCTGGCTATAAAAATGATTCTGATTTTCTGCAAATGTATTTTGGGGAATGCTATTATGCATTGTAGAGTTAAGATCATTGTAATATTTTTGGTTATCCTCATAATATTTTGATGCAAAATTAGGGTGAATATATATCTGATCATTGGAAAAATTTGATATATCTTCTGAACTCAGACTATTAACTATTGAATTCTGTTTCTAATATATATAATCAATTAAACCTCAAATTTAAATTTTACTATTTTTCATTTTATAGAAATTTTCATTCAAAACAACCATATATATTTATTCACTTTTTTTCTAATGTTCTTTTTACCCATTTATTATAAATAGGTAAAATAGCAAAAAACTGTTCTTCATAACAAAAAGAAGCATTTATAGTAGTATTAACTGTTAAACAATATGATGAAGTAGGCAAATCAGCTGTGACTGTGATGTTGCTTAACAATACTCATAACTTTAGCTTCACTAAAACTAGGTCTTATTTTTACATTTAATTAGATTTCATAAATTTAAATCATCCTATCAATGTTTATTATGATGTAAAAGTAAATTAATTAATAGCCTATCCTTATATAAAATTAAATCTATATAAATAATACATTAAAAGATCCTCTCCTTTCTTCCAGTGGATGATTCACTAAGATTTTATTATTTAAATTGCTTATATAGTTATATGTATATCCATCATTATGCTCGACATTAGAACTTGTAATTATTTCTGCAGTCCCCATAAATATAGGGGGATTTCTATTCATATATCCATTATTTTCTTTTAAGATGTGTCCGTCTTTTCGTAATTTATATTCTTCAAGCTACTTTTAATAATATGTTTATTTCTAATAAAATTTACCTTTAGTTTTGCAGCAGCTATTTTAGTTTCTCGTTCAGTTAAATTCATCGTAAAAATTGAAACGACTAAAGTTATTAGTTAACATAAAATAGGATGACATGAATAGTAAAAACACATGTCTGTCTTTATAACATTATATTATATTGAAAAATTTTACTTATGAATAGCCAGGTTTTATCCATAAGGAGAAGGAGGTGCGGGGTTTGAAAAATTTGGCCTTCAGCTGATTCCCTAAAAAATATAATAATATATTAATTTTTAGGAGTTATCTTTATATCATCTTTGTTAAAGATGGCTAAACAATTGGAAATACTAATTCTGAAATTTGCCAATATTTTGTGCTTTATTAGTGTCTAACCACTATAATAGCCAGTGTTGTATGCAAATATATATTTAGTTGAGCCCTTCTTAATTGGGTGGTATTCAAATTTATATAAATGAACGTTCATCGTATGCAAATAAATATAATTATTTTAAAAATGTCTATGAATATGAATATTTTAGATTATAGTTGAAAAAGAAATATATAATTTTCATTACTTATTTTTATTATGAATTTTTACGAAATTATAATTTTTTAGGTATATTAAAAGTGGAATAAAATAAAAAGATTTGAAATAAAAGAGAATCATTTTTGGGTATTCAGTAAGATTACCAAATTCAATAATTTATATATATTGCATTATGTTCAGTCTCTCCCACTAGCCTCAGCAATATAAATATCAATTCCATATTGTTACAGCCAGCATAAATGAAAAATTTTTTAGTAATATTTGGCTTGGCCAAATTTATGATTAATTTAGAAAGCATTATTCTGAAAATTTTTGCAATATTTAATATTAAATTGTAAATTAATTCAATTCATTCGGTGTAGAAAGAAAAAAAATCGCACCCCAAATCTCATATTTTTTATCATCACTCAATATATCTTATTCTATGATAAAAATAATTATTTTAAATTTTTTCATATAACAAAATTTTACAGATAATTTTATCATAGATTTTATTTATCATTAAAACACTTAACTTTAATACAAATAACATCCCTTTATTTAACTAAACTATGTATTTATTTTAATAAAAATTTTACAATAAAATAAATTTTAAATTCAGAAATTTTATACTAATTATTATATTAAAAATTTACTCTTGTATTTTAAATTATAATAAAATATAAGTAATTCTTGTTGCAAATAACTTTATTTAAAAACATATAATTTAACAACTATAATTAATACAAATGAACATATTATCAGGGTCATAGGTATAACCTGGGTTTTCCTAGGGGGGGTAGACCCCATTTTGGGCGTGCCTTCGATCAGTGTTTTTTAGTCTATATATTATTCAAGATAGGAGGTTAATTTTAATAAAAAAAACAATGTTATCTTTATTTATTTTTATAATACAAGAAATTGGTTAAGAGATTATATCAAAGTAGAAGCCTGAAACAAATAGGAAATATATTTTTATTAGTTTACATAAAATATAATAAATTATATTAATACAAAAAAGTGGTAATAATTTATATCAAACAAGTAATAGGAAATTTTTTATAAAATGTAAGTAAACATATAGCTGATATCCCTTTATTATATAAAATTGGTTACAAAATATTGAGCAAAATGGCCACTTTAATAGACATATTTGACAAATATAGAATATATTACAGCTAATATTTTAATAAACCTTACTAATCAATGTTTTTGATAATAAATATAAGCAACAATATGCATTCAATTCTTTAACGCTATCTATTTATTTTAAATAAAAAATAATACTAAAAATTAATCATCACATTATTCATTCCACAATGGATGTACCTTATTAGATACTGACGCTACTGAAATATAGAATGATTTTTTTCATTAACATTCTTTAAAAGATATTCTGATGTCCTAATCAATATTTTATAGTTTTCTGTAAAATATATAATTAACTATTGGTATAAATTATTTGATTGTCATGCGATAATAGATAAAATTAGATGTATTCTAAATCTACGATACATAATATTCCACTGTTTGTATTGTGGATTAATTTTTTTTAATTTAATTTTATCAACAATTTTATAATTATATTTTAACTTTTATTAAGATAATTTTTTTTTTTTCATAATCATTATATTTTTATTAATATCTAGCTATTATTTTTAAATTATAAAATAGTATAATGGTATATAGAAATATATAAAATTACTAAATTAATAATAAAATAAAACAATATTATATAAAAACGGAGGTGGGACTACAAGTTCCCAAAAAACATGAGTAATTATATTTTAAAATAGTGATTTGTAGGTTTTGTTATAAAAAATAGAATTCTTTTGGTTCTGATGTAAGGGCTCTTGTCTTATCGCCTATATTTTTTAAGAACTTTAAAGTTCCGCTTGGCATATGCCCAAGGGAAGAGATAACGATCGGTGTAAAAATATAATTTGTGAATTTGAAATATTTCATTGTATTTTTTTCTCGCCTATATCAACCGGATTAGAATTTAAATTTTTTGAGAAGGAAGATACGCATATAAAGTCCCAAATTAAGGATTTCCCTAAAGACCAAGGCACGGAAGTTAAGCCATCATCTAATGATAAATTTGTAGGCTCAAGGATGTTTGGTAGAGCGGTGATACGCTAGCGATTAACTGCATGCCTTGAGCCTAATGCTTATCACAATGACCAGTTCCTATCAACCTATGCATTATGTACAGTCAGCATTCTGTATTAATATACTCCAAAGGGGGTTTGATGAGTAAATTTAAAAAATTTTTTAATTAAAGGTTCGAAAATAGATTGGTGTGTTAAGATTGTGGGTAAGACAGCTTCAGGTGAAGTTACAGATACCCAGGCTGTAAAGACTGAGTTTAAAAGGTTATCTTTAGGAGAGATAAAAGAAGATATCATGGCGTTATTTTTCAAACGCGATGCCAAAAATGAGGAAAGAGATATAAGATTTAAAGGATATAAATTTAAACCACCCATTTACGAGGGTAATTGTGAGAAACCCCAATTAAAATCTTCCAATTTAATATTTAAAATATTTTCTAATAAACTTCTAAAAAATTCATAAACACGATTAATAATTTCATTATTTAAAAAAAAAGGAAGAAGATCTAAAAATATGTAAATCTTTGGTAAAAATAAATATTTTTTTAAAAGAAAAAAGCTCTGGTGTGAAGGAGTTTCTTTTAAAATAGTTTCAAGTCCTAATAAGCCTTGGAAAAATTTTTCCATGAACACCTCACAGTTGGAAAAACTGCTTAAAGGTGAACCTAGAAGATTAATTTGACTTTTTTTAATGATTTTAAACCCTTGGACTTCAAGAGTATTTGAATTTAAAAATCATATTTCAGATTTAGCTTTATTTAGAGTAAGGCCTATGTTTAGAGAATTCTTCTCTATATATTCTATCGCTGCAAGAATATTTTTAGAAGGTCCGCAAATGGTACCATCATCTAGATACCATATGTTTAAATCTAAATTAAAAAAGGATTTTAGACAATGAACTAGGTTATGTATACCTAAACTAAAGATCAGAGGGCCCAAAGGGTCTCCTTGTTGAACACTTTCGTCAGATGGAATTGTATATTCCCCGAATTTGAGAGGGGTTCTACAGCCATAAGACTGTTCAATAAATCTTGCATAAACTGGGAATTTTTCATAAAAAATGTTCAAAAATGCTTTTCTGGATAAAGAATTAAAAGCATTTTTAAAATCAAGCTTACAGACTACGGCGTCTGGAGGAGGATCTTCGATATATATGCGAAGAGAGTGAGCGGCTATTTCGCATCCCCCTTTAGTACCAAAGCCTAGTTGATATGTTTGGAAGATTTTTGAAGCATCAGGTTTGATGCGCTCAACGATTATCTTAGCTAATAGTCTCCTAAAAAAGACCCTATTGCAATTGGCCGAACTCCACCATCAGGCTTAGAAAAAACAATTAATCTTGCGCCAAAAAGAATTGGGTGAACTTGACTAGGTAAATCATTGTTCAATATATTTTCACTAAGTATTACCAATGAATTTACAAATGAATCTTGATAAGGATTTTTAGGGTTAATTAAAAATTGGAAATAAGAGGGGCGAAAACCTTCAATTCCCCCTGCAGAGTTTTTATTAAAAGATAAAACTGTTTTAATTAGTTCTTCCTTACCTATTTCGATTAAATTAGATTTTATAGGGATGGTAAGATCTTCAGGAAAAGCCTGAGGGTGCAATTCTTTTAATAAAGTAAAAGTATGTTCATCAAATGGAGCCAATTTATCATTAGATGAAGCTAATTTAAGAGCTCCACATACGTCCCCTTGGTCTATTTTTTTTTGATATAATTTTGCATTTAAGGGCAAAATCAGATGTAGCCCTTACATCAGGAACGTAATTTTCCATTTCTAAATCATAAAAATGGTCTATTTTATATTTTATCATTCATGCAAAATAGTTTTTTTTATTTTTATCTGTAGGTAATTAAGACTTTAAAAGGAATAGTTAAAAGATTCTCCCAAACTTTAAGGGAATTTAAACTTGAATTAACTTCCGTAATAAGTGTTGTTAAAAAATTAGAAATGAAAGATTTTGATTTAAGGGGTAGGTGGATTAAGGTTGGTGGCTTTTCCCACTTTAAAAAATTATTATAAAAATCAGGATAAAAATTTTGATACAATGGGGTTGTTTCAATTTTGTTGTAAAATTTTATTTGAAGGGGGTTTACCAGAGTTTATATATGGTTTTGACCTGGGCCTATGTTTATAAAAACAAATAGCTTGGGTCAAGAATATATTTCTAAGCATTACAAATGATTGGCATACCCATTTTTGAAGAAAAAAAAGGAGGAGGGGGGGGGGGAGTATATATGAATGAATGATTTATTTCTAAAATTCCAAAAATGTTATTTTAAAAAAAAAATTATAAAATTAAATTTAAAATTTAATTTTGTTGTATCAAGATCAAGATTCATGAATATTAGGGTTTAAATAATTGAGTAAAGTTTAGATAAAAATTTATATTTTAAAAAATATATTACAAACTAACTTAAAATCTATAAAAAATATGTATTAAAATTTGAGGTTTAGATGGTTGTGGAATTTCGAAATGATGTTTAAAAATATTTAAAAAAATTTTTTTTATAAATATAATGATCAAGTAGATAAATTAACTTAAATCTATATATGATTGAGATAAGTATTTTTATCATTGATTGAATCAAAGAAATCTTGGTGGTAAGTTAGTGTTGAGCAAGCCATAATAATGTTCTTATACTAATGATTGTTGTGCAGGAATATCAATTTAAAACTATATATGATTGAGATAAGTATTTTCATCATTGATTGAATCAAAGAAATCTTGGTGGTAAGTTGAGCAAGCCACAATTCTTGTACTAATGATTGTTGTGCAGGAATATCTATTTAAAATTTCTAAAAGTAAATTAAAGTTACTCAGTTTTAGGCCTATTCAAAAATAATTCGAATATTCGATTCGATTCGAATAATTCGAATCTAATCGAATAATTACGAATACGAATAATAAATTATTTGTTTTATCTGAATACGAATAATCATTTATTCGATTCGAATAAAACGAATTATTCGTAATATTTAATAAATTGTTTAATAAATCTAACATTTGTCATAGGAAGAATGGGAGGATCTTATAAAAATTAAAGCTATACTATTGCCTTTATATGAAACTACAAATATGGTATGTGGGGAGAATTATCCTACTTATAATTTGGTTATATCTTCTTATATTTTAATTCTTGAACATCTAAAAAATGAAAAACCTGGTTTCCATAAATCCTTTAACAATAGTTTCAAAGTAGCAGGGATAAATTGTTGGGCTATTATAATTTAACTGCCGATGATGCAATAATAACCACAATATTAGATCCCAGGTTTAATGTAGAATATTTTAAATCAATATCTGTTGATTATGATCTTGATATATCCAAGTTAATGGACAAATTTAAAGAGATTTACAATAGATATACAGGTATTTAATTTACCCCCATTTAAATATGATTTTATTTTATAAGCTCATAATTATAACTGTAAACAAATAAGGATAAAATTCAACAAAACAGGCTATACATTGTTTTTAAACAAAATAATATTCAACTGTGTGAAATATATTTTTATCTGAGTGAACCAAGAGCAAAGAGTGATACTGACCCGTTAATGTGGTGGAAGGCAAATGCATATCGGATCCCCATACTCTCGAAAATGGCAAGGGATTATCTATTTATACAAGGAACATCAACTGCTTGTGAAAGGCTTTTCTCAGTTGGAACTAATTTTTGTCAAAAAACCGCATGTCATATAAGGAAGAAAATATAAGAAAAACTCTTTGCCTTAAAAATTGGCTTAAATTATAAATTAAATTAATAATATATATTTTAATTTTGTTTATAACTTGATTATATATTATTTATTATCAGATTATTGATTACATATACATATTATTATAATTTTTTTCTGTTTAAAATCAAATTTGTAATAAAAAAATTTGTCAATATATTTGAGTATGATTTATTTTATTAAAAAAATTAATTCGAATTATTCGAAATATTCGAATAATTCGAATCGAATACAAATAGTAGATTTTATTATTCCTACAAATTCAAATAGTAAATTAATCGATTCGTTTAAATGAATCGAATATGAATAATGCACTATTCGATTCGAATTCGTTTTTGAATAGGCCTACTCAGTTTATAAAAAATTATATTTGATATATTATATTATTTAGTAATTTTATGAATCTATTAATAGTAATTATAATACATTTCACTGCTCTCTTAAGACTTAGCTTTGGGTTATATTTCGTTTCTTAAAAAAACATTTTCGGTTTCACTTTTTTTATATATAATTTTGGAGAATGAATTAGTTTTTATAAATAAAATAAATGTTTGGTCATGTATAAAAAATTATCTATTAGATATTTTAGATCTAATACTATAATAAAATTAAAATTACTCATACCATTTTTTTTATTTATAAAAGTAAAATAATAATCTTCTCTCCGCTAGATGGCGTCTATATATTTTTAAAATTTTTATATTAAAATAATTTTTAATAAATTTTGCCATATTCTATCATTATGACTAAAATATTTACGATTTTTTTATAGCATTATCTATAATTCGATAAAAAATTTGGAGTCTTTTTTAAATTTATCAATTTTTATTAATCCGATAAATTAATAACGATAGTAATTCATAATTATAAATCATAATTATTTTTACCAAATTGATATAATAATGTTGTAATTATATAATTAATGCCTACATAAAATATAATTTGTTCGGCAGAGAAGTTTTTTAAATATAAATTTAGGGCAATAAAATTATATATATTGAAGAAATATATTCAATATTCTAGGAATATAGAGAAATTAGGAGGGAAAAATTGGGGGAAAAAGGAAATTAAAATTTGTCCTTTCTGCCATAATTTACGTCGCTGATGCTGTTTTTAGAGCCTTTTGGTATTAAAACAGATAAAGTTTTATCTAATGAATGTAATTTATTATTGCTTTGACTATTAAGTAAAGATTAATTCATTTAAAGTTGTTTCCAGTTTATATATCATTTATAACATGATTCATAGATTAGCAGTTGTTATCTGTCCATAAACAATTTGTTATTTAACTTTTTAGGGGGAATGTAAACATTTTCATAAATTACTTTTTGAAATTTATATGTTTCTGTTATTTTATCTAATTTTTATAAGTCATTATTTTTCCGGTCTCCGAACCCTCAACCCGAACCGAGTTTAGAGATTTTTCATTGAACCCAAACCCGAACTCATTATTTAGAAGGAGGCAATGGCGTAGCTAGGAATTTTACTTAGAGGGGGTTCATACATATAAAAGCTTGGGGGGCTTCGCCCCCAGACCTCCTTTAACGGGCCTTCGGCCCCTTTATCTGGCTTTCGGCCGGGTTTATCTAACAAATCATGACCATATCTTCGATAATATAAATGCATCAATAATATGTTATTATAATTTAGTAGATTATTCTCAATGACTTTATAATAATACTACCCAGAATAATTTCAATAGTAATATAATATCCTTTCACAAACATCAAAACCAAAAAAATATATATAATAATGGTATTTATTTGATATAAAGTCACTTTTAAGTCTTTTGAACGTATAATCTAAAATGAAATTTTCTCTAGGAGGGGTCCAAACACGAAAATCACCCCGTAGCTACGCCACTGGAAAGAGGGTTCAGAGCCCTAATATTTATTGACGAAACGATTTTTTTATAGCATTTCTTGATGCAATAAGGCATAATTTATTAAACACATTCATATAATAAAAATTAAAATATCTATTGACGCCATCTAGCGGCTAATATATTATTTTTTTACTTTTATAAATAAAGAAAAGTTATGAGTAAATTTAATTTTATAAAAAGTATTGAATACTAAAATATCTAATAGATAATTTTTTATATCTGTCCTAACGTTTATTTTATTTATAAAAACTAATTAATTCTCAATTAATATTAGATAAAGTGAAAGCCATACTAGCAATCTCCTTTACTTTTCGTATATTTCATGAAACGTATTATCTCTAATATTTGTTAATATTTCAACAATATCCTTTGCCGTATTGTTAATAGTGTTGTTTAATCAAATTTTTTTATTAAACTTTATATTCGGTAAAAAAATTATAACATGAACATGAACATTTATATACACTATTGAATTAAAAATATATATTAAAAACAAAAAAATCAATATAAAAACATATAATTAAAAGAAGGGAAATTAAGAAAAAAAAAAAATTAAAAAATTATTTAAAAAAAAAAATGAGGGATATCTAATTAGGTGTGGTCCACGGGGCTTAAATAACCCATGAATGGATATACAGTTTGAACGGCAGATTTCGATTGAAATCCTTTGGCGGAGGTAGAAACCTTCTTTCGGATCACCTGTGACTAATCGTAACCTTTGCCCTATTGTTTTGAATAATTTTAAGGCTTGGGGTCCGAATGATCCACAGGTGTCTGAGACTACCGGAGCGAATAAAATATTATTAAGGTGGCAATATTTATTTGTTTTTGTATTCTCCGCTTTTGAGATGGAGTTGGCATAAAAAGATCTGGCAAAACGATCAACGCAGGTATAGTCCCAAGCGAGAGGTAAACCTTGGTTCCAAGGGACTAACGTCAAACCATCCGGTCTGGTTTGATTATCGGAGCTAAGACAGGTAGGTTCCAGTGTGGAGGGAGTATTTGTAGATCTCAGCGTTCTATTGATTATAGAATTAATGGCATAATGTCTAGGAAGTCTCCCTTTTGAGAAACGACAGTGTAGGGGGTGGTGTCCTAGACTATCAATGTGAGATTCACATAGGACACAAGTCGTAGGGGTTACGATATCGCAGCCTAAGCGAAGGCCTATAGCTATTCTGAGTTCTTCGTTGGTAAGTAGTAGGCCTAGATTAGAGCTAGGGATAGTTTCTAACCATTCATATCCAAGATGGCATATGGGTGGAGCTGGATTTGTAAAATAATTAATTGAGTATTAATTTAAATGTTTTGTTACATATTGTGTTGTTTATTCAAATTTGTAAAATAATTTATTGAGTATTAATTTAAATGTTTTGTTACATATACCAGTCGATGATATACATATTATGATTATTATTATTTGATTTTTTAAAGTAGAAATAAAATTTTATTTAAAACAAAACACAACTTAATTAATTCTTGTTTCTATTACGTATTATAAACTCCCTTAAATCCAAATTAATTTTTTAGTAGTATATTGCTAAAATCATATATATAATTAAATAAAAAAATAAACGCAAAAGTTATGGCCATAAAAATTGTAACTCTTCTAGAATAGATGTTCAAAAAATTACCTATTAGCCGATTTATTTATTTTTTGTATATTTAATATCTAATCTGGACTACTGATCTGATGTTTTTTTTCTAACAGAATTTAGGCCAACATTGCTTTACTGGTGGAGGAGTTTTGTGATAATGTCCATTTGAATGCAGGCAAGTTGATATTTAGCTCCCCGAGGTATGCGTTGTACCGCCTAATAATATATTATATCATCCCAAACCCAAATAATAATTTAAAAAAAATATAATATGGTATAAATGATAAATTACAGTATAGTTGTTGTAATATTCAGTAATATTTTTAAACCAGAAATGTCTTCTTCAAATTAGAAGAATTATTAAGATATTATATAATTTCATATTATAGACTATGTAAATGAGGATTAAAGGAAAGATACATTTGAAATTTTGTGAATATTTTAATAATTTTCAAATTTTGGAAAGAATTCTTTTTTTATATTTTTAAATTTAATTTTTTTTATAAGTAATTACTATGAATCTTTAATAATGTTAATAGTATATTTTTATTTTAATAATTTATCATTTTATAATTAAATGAAGATGAATTAAAGAAAGCATAAATTTTGTTAATTAGTTTCTATTTTCATATACTCTTCATTATTTAATCTATTATCTTTTTAATTTAGATTCAACTATATTTCATTTATCTTCTACATTGGTGCTCAAACTCTTCTCAATTCTATACAAGTTATGTGTATATATACATATTAAAATATAAAATGAACGTATTAAGTAGTCTTGTTAAATGGCTCGTTTAGAGGCCATTTTTAAAAACGGATAACTCGATATTTCATCCAGAATAGTATTACGCAAGCCTGAAGATTTTGTTTGTAGAAGGAACAAAGGTTTGGACATCCTTTAGCAAAATCTCGAGGCTTAGGCAATATTTTTCTGGCTAAAATATTGAGTTAGCCGTTTTTAGAAATCGGATCAAAACGAGTCTATTAACAAAACTAGTAAAATCATATTTGAGAAAGTGGACAATCGAAGTGATTATCAGCGTTGTTTAAAGAATAGAGGCAATTTTTAAAATAGCGCGCTACCGTTTTTGGGGCACAGCCACTCCATATTTATCAAATTGGTACTACAATAAAACATTATCAATATTTTAAATTAAACCTAGTCTTTAGGTAATATTATTCAAAATTTTGCGCAATTTATTTAATTTAAATGGATATAAACATTTTTTTGGAAGGAAAACACATATTTACCCTTATTAATTTTAAAAAAAATATATATATATATATAACATAATTAACTGATTTCAAATTAATACAATTTTAGAAACACTATATATTAAAAGTAAATTAATTTGTTAGCTTCCATATTTTTAAAATTATATTGAATAAACTATAAGTTAATGATTTTAACTGTTATTTTAATAATTTAATGGTATTTTAACATTTTAGGACAAAGTTACAATTTATTTTAAATGTCACCATAGGATATAAATAAAAAATATATAAATAATATTGATGATATAGAAATGTTTATCTAAGGTTCAAATATTATTATAATTTAATTTTTTAATTAATAAAAAATGATATATATATAAGAAAAATATTTATATATGTCTTAATATATCAATGCTAAACAGATTTAAAAAAGTTACACGGATCAACAGAAGGAGTCTATGTGACCCCAAGCTCCAAAAAACTCCTTTTAACTCATGAACTACACATATACTTAACTAAAAAAATGTTAAGCTGCTAAAAGATTCAGGCAAAAATATCGATAGAATTTTAAGTAATAACGTTTTTTTTAAATGACAGGGATCTGCATAGTCCCACCTGTGCAATGAAGGGTTTATATAAGTACATCACGTAATTAAAAGTATTTATAATATAGAATTAAAAGATTAGTTAACATGTTTTTTAAAACAAATTTTTTATTATAATCTAAAATAATTTTATCATCAAATTAGAGGTCCATTTGTATAAGGTTAAAAAAAAAGAATGATTTAATTATAAATTTCTTCGATTAAAAATCAAATTTTATTTTTAATATTAAGATGCCAATTCTTGTTTCAATAATAATTTAACAATCCTCTTAATGATTTCTTTAACATAGTCGGGTATTCTGTGTGAAAAATAAAATCTAATTCTGTGCACTTAACTGAAAACACAGAACGAATGGAGTATTTTTGTTTAGAATTTAGGTTAGATTTCATTGCCATTTGCCTTTTACGGCTCGCATTATCTCCAGTCTCCCTTAAATACAAAGATATTATTTTCATATCTAATCTATGTAAAGATATCTATGAATTTTTACAACCGAATTCAGCAAAATATTTTATCAAATGTGGGTGTCCAAGACATATTACAAAATAATTAATAATCAATTTGCGTTTAAAATGACATGAATTTACAAATTTGGCCAGAAAACTCCGAGCCAATTTCAATGAGATTGGATGGGGTTATAATTACTAATTGTTATAATTCTTATTAATTTTTGTATATAAATTGAAATATCACGAAAATTTACTCAGTATAAAAATTCATTGAATCACAATATAAGGTTAATTCTTAAAATTATACCCAAAATAAAATGGTATAAAAAATAAATTAATTAAAAATTCAACAAATTTATTTTGGAGCCATAATTAAAAATTTTATAACATATATATATACAATATTTTCAAAATGGGAACAAATACCCTCCTTTTTCATCGCATAGTCCTCCTCATGTTTATGTGGCAAACTTGGCTATTATATCAAGGTAAGCGTAAAACTAATCTTATTTGATCTTTCACATTCTTTTTTTAAATAACTTAAAGACTACTCACAACGTTAGACAGATGGAGATAAATAGGCGTTACAGTCAAATTGCATAATCATTTAATACGCGTATTTTCCTTAGTAAAATCACCCTAATATTATGTAAATTGTCCAAAATATGATATATATAGATATTCTATTCTTGCCTTAGAATACATATACATTGGGCTAAATAATTGATTTGAAGTTGGTAGATAGTAAATAAACTATTTGTTTAAAGTTTTTAAAATTTTAACGCTAAAAAAAAATACCTTACAGTTTATAAATTTCAAATTTTTTTTTAAAGATAATTTATGTACTCGCGCGACTTGGCAAAGACATTGACTGAGTTCACGTGTATTGACTCTAACATAGTATATATATATATACAATTAATAACTTTCATAATTAATCATAATTACAAATAACTACCCCCTCCCCTTATTCTTTTAATATAAAATTCAAGTTTCAGTTTTAACTAGCCTAAAAAAAGGAAAGATATCTTATTTTATATAATTGAAAGATATCTTATTTTATATAATTGTTTATGGTTGTTGTAATATAAAGCTCAATTTTAATTTTTAAAATAGACAGTTTTTCTTCCCTCTATTGACTATAAAATATTCGCGCAAAAAAAAATAAATTGGAAAAATAATTGGTTTTTAAAAAAGATAACTTTTTCATATTAAGAGCCATCGATAAAAAGGTAATAAAAGTGGCTCCACGTCAATTCGGTGTATAAAACTTGGTTCGCGACGTCAATTCGGCGCACTTCAATCAACTCGGCGCGGCGACTCAATTCGGCGCATCGTCAATTCAGCGCGGCGAAAACTTGGCGCAACGTCAATTCGGCGCGGCGACAACTCGGCGCAACGGCAATTCGGCGCGGTGACAACTTGGCGCAACGTCAATTCTGGCGCGGTGACAATTCGGCGCAACGGCAATTCGGCGCGGTGACAACTTGGCGCAACGTCAATTCTGCGCGGTGACAATTCGGCGCAACGTCAATTCGGCGCAACGTCAATTTGGCGTGGCGACAATTCGGCGCAACGTCAATTCGGTGCGGCGTCAATTCGGCGCGTATCTAATACAGTTGCAATTTATTATAAATTTATTAGTATAAAAAAAGGATGATTAAATAGAAATGATTTTGAATGTTGGTCATATTAATTATTTCTTCGTATTTTTTTTTACAAAAATCTCAATCTTATTTACTAAATGTGTAATATCAATAAAAAAAAATTAACAACCAATATTTATACTGATTTCCTTGCTGGACCAATTTACCACATTATAAGGTAAGGGAGACTGGGGTTAGTCGGACCGATTTTTATAAAATTAACTATAGCTCCTGGTTTTTTAGATAATATAAAAAAAATATATGATTAGATACCTAAAACTATACTCTATAAAGGTTCCTTATAAAAAAATTTAAGAATATAATCATTTTTTTTTAAATTTTACTTTTTGTAAAAGAACAATTTTGTCCAACAAGCCCCAATAGCGGGTAAATTAAGGCAAGTTATATATAAAAATTGAAACTTAATTTTGGTTAATTTAATAAAAATTTTGTATTTTTTTCATTATTAACTGCCATAATTGACGTGTATGGTTTAGCAAGCCCTGCTAACTCTAAATTTCTGGATATAATAAATACTCATAAAACTTTCCCAAATTATAAAAACTTCATCAATATTTTATTTCTTAAATAAAATTTTTAATAATTATTTCAAAAGATTTTTTGTCTATAAACGTAAACTAATAAAAACTATATTATGCTAAAATTTTAACCTTCTGGTGTATTTAATTTTAAGATGAGATTAAGTGGTTTGCCAAGCCTTGGTACCTAACCCCAGTTTCCCCTATTTTGATTAGTAGCTAATATTATGTAAGCGAGATTTTGCGCTAAATGTAAGAAAAGTTTGGACTTCTATCTCTAATCTTACATGTTATTATGGCTAAAATTTTAATCGACCCAAATCGGACGTTTAACAACACTAATGTTGATCCAATAAAATTCAAATTAAGACTGATTCATTTTTTAGATTTATTAAAAATCCTTAAAATAATTCTATTAATCATTTTAAATATATATTATGTTTAACTAATTTTTTCTATTATAAAATAATCAAAAACGAATTAACGCACAAAGGCAATTTCATGGCTGTTTATAGATTGGTATGTCCAAAATGTTTATTAAATTAACCTAAATTAAGTTTCAATTTTTATATATAATTTGCTTCAATTTATAAGTATTATGATATTTTTAACAATAAAACAATAAAATTATTCTATACGTATCATTATTAATAAATAAAAATGCATTTCAATTTATTATGGCTAAAAAAACCAATGATTTAGGAAGCCCCTTGAATTTGCCTCACCCCGCTATTGGGGCTTTTTGGATATTATTTTTTTTCAAAAAGTAAAATTTAAAAAAAATGATTATATTCTAAAAATTTTTATAAGGTACCTTTATAGAGTATAGTTTTAGGAGGTATCTAATCATATATTATTTTTTATATTATCTAAAAAAATCAGGAGCTAAATTTTGTAAAAATCGGTCCAACTAACCCCAGTCTCCCCTACCTTATAATGTGGTAAATTGGTCCAGTAAGGAAATCGGTATAAATATTGGTTGTTTTTTTTTATTGATATTACACATTTAGTAAATAAAATTGAGATTTTTGTAAAAAAAAATACGAAGAAATAATTAATATGACCAACATTCAAAATCATTTCTATTTAATCATCATTTTTTTTATACTAATAAATTTATAATAAATTTTAACTGTATTAGATACGCGCCGAATTGACGCCGCGCCGAATTGACGTTGCGCTGAATTGACGTTGCGCTGAATTGACGTTGCGCCGAATTGTCGCCGCGCCGAATTGACGTTGCGCCGAGTTGTCGCCGCGCTGAATTGACGATGCTCCGAATTGACGCCGCGCCGAGTTTTCTGCGCCGAATTTTCCGCGCCGAATTGACGTGATACCATTTTTCTTAAAATAAAAAAATATCAAAGGTTTATTTATTATTACGTTCGCTCACTTTAGGCAGGTCAGTGACTAACCTACTAGATAAGATAAGAAATAATATAAAATATTTTTTTGTCATATTTGATTTTTGAATTTAACCTAATCGAGAGTAATCGAATAAATAAATATAATGAAAGAATTACGTTTGTGAATGTCAAAGAACGGACAAAAAAATATATATTTAAAAAAAAACCAATCCTCATTTCCGGTTTTGCATTAATCGTATGGATTTTTTTTAAAAAAACCAGTCCTCCTTTCCGGTTTTTCATTCATCGACTGGAACTTTTTTGTAATCATACACAAGGTAGCCTTAATTAAATGTAAGTATTTGCCAAACATTTTTTGTATTAAAGGAAGGGGGGGGGGAGGGATCCACAAGTGTTTCTTTTTTTTCTAACCAACTAATAAAACTTTAAATTCTTATCATACATACTATCATGATATATGATATTTTTACTTGAATAAGCCTATGGACAGTCTTGCGTTATAGAGAGAATAATAGCTCCTCGCGGAAAATGGAATCAACAAGATGATAAGTTACAAATAGCGTTCACACTTCAAAAAAGTTTAAAAAATATATATATATTTGTGATAATTATTTTATATATACTATATAATAGATCTAATCCTGTTAGCGATGGTTAGATATTTTTCTGCTTCCCTGCGCCTAACTGTCATCCAAATCCTCTGATAGGTTTAGGCCCATTAAGTCTTCCACAATCACGCCTTTCTTATTTTATATTTGTTAGCCCCTCTCCTACATTTACTTCCAACTTTTAAACCTGAGCCAATTTTTTTTCCCAATAATATTAATATCGAAGTGGTTTAGTTTAATTTTTCCACTTGGAAGCACGAATGAAACATATGACGAAGCATATATATATACACCAATAATTTCTTAAGATAATTTCATTTTAATACAATGTTTAAAACTATCATGGTCCAGTTATTAAAGCAACTAAATGAATTTTTATTTTATTTTTTTCAAATTTATTCCTTTCATGTTATGTTACATAGTTCAACGAATATTCCCGAATGATTTCTCTAGCATAATATCAACCAATGAATTCTTTTAAAAAAAATTTTTTTTTTTAAATTGAATGAAAAAGGATTTGTTGAGCAATTTACTTTTTACTTGCAAAAAAACTTATAATATATTATTAATATGATATATAAAATATGCATCAAACTGAATAATCAAAACGACGTATTTGTATCATTATTAGAGTTACTACCATTTTGTCAGTTCATTAATAATTATATAAAACTTGTTTTTATGGTAAATAACTTCAATTTAGCAGGTTTTTATAAAAAACTGGGAAAATTAAAGAGTTTTTTTGAATAAAAAATAATATTAAAGCCTCTAAGACTTAGCCAATATATATATATTAGAAAGGTTTGTGGCACGAAATCACGAGACTTAAGTAATATATTCTTTTTTTTTGAACTAATAATCTTCATTAGATTTTTCAGCATTACTATCAAATGTTACTTTTAAAACTCAAGATGTATACTAAACTTTTAATTAGTATTGTATCCCTTATTTATTATTCCCTATTTTTAAAACAAGCTAATAAGTTTTTTTTTAAACTTAAAAAAGAGATTTATTATAGCATCTTACCTCTTAAGGTATCATTATCATTTAAAACTGAGAGCGCAACCATTTAACTCTTGTAGGGTCTATAAGGCCCCGGCCTGGTAGGGCCTTGAGGGCTTAGAAAAATTAGTTAGAAAGTTGGGACCATGACGCACTTTAAGGGCCATGAATAATGTTCTTCATGTTAGGTTTAATTTTTTGCAGAGTTAAAAATAGTAAATATACTAAATTTACATCAACAATAAAATAACCAATTGCCATCATTATAATCCAATCCACCAATTAAATTTGTATAAATTTAAGTTCCACAAGCCAAATTGATCTTAAAAAATTTTAGGCAATAAAAAAACTATCAAGTAATTGACTCAATCGAAATAGGAGATTCTTTGTTTCTATTATCAGTTAATCGAGCTCTATATACAAAATATAATGTCAGGGTAATTTTGGGATGAGTATAATAATTCTTCTAAGGTTTTACAATGAAACTATTTTTTTTCAGAGATTGACAAAGATATCCCCAGTATCTTAAAATTAACAAAGGAACGTGGCCGACCGTGCTCAATGGAAGTAGAAATGCTGGGTTTCGAAAACCCCGATTCAAATCCCCCAAATTCGATAGGTTAAAAAAAAGGAGAATGTATATTGGGATCAACACATTGGATTTTCATTTTAAAATCTATTATACAAGGGACTAAATTTGCCGATCCCTGTCTAAAGAGAATAACAAACGCCTAACGTCACTCGATGACGCGATATTTGATCGCGTTTTAAAAATTCAATCAGTTAGTTTAAATATCTTGTGTAGGTTATAGTAAACAAACTTTTATATAAATTATTCGGTGGTCAAAATAAGTTTCAATAAACTTTTAGAAAGTTTTTAAGAAATTTTTAATAGATGTTATGGTAAAGCATAAAGGGGTAAAACTAGTTCCTTTTCTAAAATTAAAGTCCTTTATTCAGGAGTCGTTTTTTATTTGGAAGGAGAGGGATGGGTTAGGGGGGGGGTGTTAAAATATTATTCACCATCAGAGGTCATCAAATCTATAATGAATTTCCAAAAAATATGTGTCATTTTGGAAAACAAAATTTTTTAAAAGAATTTATATTTAAAATTATCTTTTTATCTAAAAATTTGATTTTACATATTAAATCAATGAAAAGCAAAAGATATGTATATATAAACCTTAGCTCTGAAAATCGAATTGCCTTTGATATTTAATAGAATTTATTATAATAATGTAATTTTAAGTAGCTTTCCTCATCGTAAAATAATTTCTAAGAAAATATTTTTGTAACAGTCCTGTTTACATAATCTTAATTTAAATAAATAGACTGAAAATAAAGATGAACATTTTAGTAATGTGAATTAGAAAGATTTGTACATAATCATTCTGTAATTTTGGCTAAAAACTTAATAAATAAATACCCTTAAAATTTAAATTATATGAAGAAAAAAGAAACTATTTTTTTTTAATATATTTGTTTTTATTCTACCAAAAAAAATATTTAATGCCGTTAACCCACCTCGCCCTAAGAGATCAGCATAGGGAACGTAGTAATTAGCACCATAGCCTATAAGAAATAGGAAAAATATAATTTAATATATAACGGGGCAAGGTTGATTGTTAGGAAGGAATCTGATCGGAATATTGTAAACTTAAAATTTTACTCCTTAGTCTACAGAAGCCTAGCAGTAGTTAATGATACTTCGGTTACAAATTTGGCGGTAAAAAAAAAAGATATATATTTTTTTTTAAAATTATATCTTATCTTTATTTTTTTTCCCAGGAGAAATGGCATTTTAGCTGAGGGGTAAACTGAAACTATTGGGCTGAAATTTAATTGAGAATTTTGGGACTTCTGAATATCTGCTATAGGTATCTGTTTTACAAAAAGGGGCGGCCGAGGGGATTATACGTCTAATATTAAGTTAGTTAATAGACCTTACGTGTTGATGTTCAGTAAATTTTTTAAAGTTTAGCATCGTTTTTAATCAATTAATGTGTTCCTCTATGGTTTTATAAAAGTTATACAGAGTCGAAAAGGCAATCCATAATTAGGGTCAATTCGCGACGACATTATATTATTAGATTTTAATTATAACTTTTTTTTTTCTGTTTGTAAGTTTTTAATACCTTATAAAAGTAATGGCCTATTCGTTTTTATATTTACAACAAACATATTCTCCAAAAAAAGGTAATAGTCAAGGACCCAAGCGTTTTCACATTTTCCTTTCAATTTCCGTCCAAATGACAAAAAGATATAGTCAGTTGAAAATAATATGAGTGGCTCTTATTATACTACAGATTATCGATGTTATTAAAATCTTATTCTTTCACAAAAAATCAAATATATAATAATCATTATTATGAAAATTTACATAAGGAAATTTAATATGAATAAAAAATAATATAAAAGTGTAAAATATATAAATAAAAAAAATAAGCATTATTTTCATGATGTTCTAAGCCAGATATTTCACACATCGAAAATTTAAATTTCACAGCATTAAATTAGGTCCCTCAAACTCATGCAAGCACGATCAAGTCACTAAATTAAATTTCAATTGGCATAGTAGCGTTTGAAAGCCATAATAATAATCCAGGTTGGGGGGGGGGCATATGTATATCAAGGACAAATATTGGTTTGCCGGTATTAATGCTTGTTGGCATTTAGTGTCACTCCTTAGGGGGGGAAATCTATGAACAAAATGTCTATAGGCGAATTACCGATGCACCCTAATATTATATATATCAATATTTAAAGAGAAACCGATAAGTAAAATCACAATAAATTTCACAGAATTAAACATTTATATGACGGTTTAAAAAAAATAGTTAATTAAAATATCCTTCACGAGTAGAAATTTAATCTTTCTTTTGCGATTGAGCCAATTTTTTTTTTAGATAAATTAACTATCTTGTGGTTAAAATTTCTGTATATGTTAAGCAGAGCTAATCTATTCAATCGATTTCCTGTTATCCTTATTTCTGAGATAGGGTTTTATTATTGGTTAATGATGCTTACTACCAAGTGAATGTATGGAAATATTCTAAATACCAACCTAATTTGCTAAATACCGACCAAAATTTATTAAAATGTAATAAGATCCTTATTATTTAATATATTAATACGGAATCACGTGGTCGAGTCCGGCCTCCTATATATTATCCCCCAAGGATGGAACCACCAAGTTAGAATAAGAAAAAAAACATGATCATTCCTGGGATTCGAACCCGGGACCATGGGATAAGTAAACCAAGCTCTTGCCTACTAGGCCATAGAGGCTTTCCAAAAATCACGATTTTTCAAATATATATTATAAATATATTTGGTAGTGCCTATCAAAATGAAAAATGAACAAAATTCAAATTTGATAGATGGTACCTTAAGGTACCAAGCATCATTAACCTTTATTATTCGTGACGAAGAAAAATTTTCCCATTTGTTGCTTTTGATGTTGATATTCCAACAAAATATACCAAGGAATTAGTATTAGTTAGATCCACTTATTGTAAGAATTTGGCTATGTTAGATTTTTATAAAAATAATTCATGCGTTCCTAAATATTTTGATTATTTTCTTACGAATTCTTGTTTACAGTGATATATTGTATACCTATTTTTGGAGAAGGGCGAGGAAGAGGAGGGGGTGGGTGAGTTAGGGGGTGTGTAAGAGAAATTTTTTTTTACCAGGTCGATTTTTAAAAACGGCCATATTAAAATTATAACTAAAATAATAATAAGTAAACCTGAAAGATTTTGCTTATATCTGGTGGGCTGAAAGGTTTAGACTTCAATTTGCCATATCTATAGGCTGATCTTATCGGCCCAAATTAAAATTTTTAACAACATTATTCTCGATTGAATCGCAATAATTTCTTTTTTACTTCATTTTTTTTTTTTAAATATGTTTTCTACTTTGAAAAGCAGCCGTATATTTCCCATTTCTTTTCTTT